CTTAGACATAATTTATTCCTCCGTTATCCAGATCCATCAGTAAATATCCATTCTACTTATAACACATACTCACAATCCAACCATTTCTACCACCTCTGCTTCTATCTCTATTTCTAAGCCACTATGTTCTCTAGCCCAGATATACAAAAGTCTCATAACTAGTTTCCCCATTTTTACCCTTGTCTCCCCAACCTTTAGTCCTCTAGAAACACAATAGGCAGAGTGGTTCTGTTAGAAATATAAATTAGATGCCATTTCTCTGCTCAAAACTGGCCACTGACTTCTCAACCAAAAACTAAAGTCCTTACATTATACTGAAAAATCCCTTATTTCTCCCGTGTTCATCAGCTTTCCATCACTATGACAAAATACCTATGGGAAATCAACTTAAAAGACAAAACATTGATCTTGGTTCTGAGTTTCAGCGCTTTCAGCCCACACTGCTCTATTGTTGTGAACTGGTGGCGAGGCAGAATATCACGGCAGAAAGTACATGGAAAGCAAAGCTGTTTACCTCATGGTGGCCAGGAGGCAAAGAAAGAGAAGGTGTTAGGACAAAATATATTCTTCAAAGGCACATCCCCAATGGCCTACCTTCTCCTACTAGGCCTCACCCTTACTTTCCACCGCCTCCCAATGGTTCACAAAGTTATAAATCTACAAACACATTAATCTATTCATGAGGTTAAAGTCCTCATGATCCAATCACCTCCCAAAAGACATACCTCTGAAAACACTGTAGCATTAGGGAGCAAGCCTTCAACATATGAATTTTAAGGGACATTTATGATCCAAATCATCAAACTTCCAACTTACTACGCTATATTATTCAACATACCCTGAATATACAAGCATTCTCCAGCATCAGGACTTTTTGTATTTGCTATTCTCTCTGTCTGAAATGCTCATACCCAAATATCCTGACAGTTTATTCCATTACCTCCTTATGATTGTTGCCCTGCTACATTTTCAGTAAGGCATTTCTTGGATACTCCACCTAAAACTGCAGTCTATTCCTCTGCAAATTCATTAAAATATCAAAATTCTTTGAATTTAATATCTCAATGAAAATGCTGATAGGGTTTTACTTTGAAACAGATAAGCAGATTCTGAGTTAATACAGAAAAATAGACAATAATATCCAGGAAAACTCTGAAAAATCTCCATAGTAAAGTACTAACCCTACAGATATTTGAAAATCTCTATAATTAAATAAACGTACCACAGGCTTATGGATATACAAAGCATCACTTTAATCTTTATATTAATTTTAGCCATTTTCTAGGTCTCTGAAATAATACACCCATACCACTTAATTAACTCTTACCCAGCATGTTAGACAAATGCTTTCATTTAGCCCTTTTTTAATTGTACGTGTTAACATATTCAAAGTTTTTCTTCAAGTGTTAACTATACATTTTAAAAGGTAAATTCTATGTGCTTACCAAAATAAAATAAAATATACTTTTAAAAAAATTGGTTTTCAAAGTTTAATGCTCATGCAAATCACCTTGGAGTCTTGTTAAAATGCACTTTCTGATCAAGGACTCTGGAGTGGGACTCAATATTCTGTTTACTGTAACACTCACTCAGGGGAATTGATGCTGCTAGCTTCTAAAAAGACTACTGAGAATTCCTTCAATTTACAACCAGCTTGGTTCCATTCAATATCATTCTAAATAATCAACCAATGGGAAGAATTGGTAATATTTTCCTCTATGAAAATCACTAAATAGTGTTCCACACCCCACTTTAACCTTTTAGATACATTTTCTTTGCTATCCTCTAACTGTATCACTCCTTTTCAAAAATATTTCAATGGTTCCTCAATGCCCTGGTATCCATTAATTTTTTAGTACTCTTCTTAAAATATTCACTAATTAGAGAGTACTCTCAGGCAACTAGATTTTTAACACTATTCAAGGTTACTGTCGGGAACAAAAAACATACAAGAAAACACTGGGAATACAAACCACTATGTAATTAATTACAAGCTGTCTCCCACAATGCAGCAAACAAAGAATACTATATCCATAATATTCTAGAAAATCTTTGTGAAACGTCATCGAATACGTATGTATTTAAATACTTACAATATTTTCTCTGCAACAGGCAATATACTATGTATAAAAAACTAAAGTAACTTTCAAACTAAGAACTGCCCCTCTTGTGTCCACTACTCCATTTTACATCTATATTTACCAGCACCTACCAGTAAATTGTCTATGTAAAAAATTTTTACATTTATATTTTTTACATCTATATTTTTTACATCTATATTTACCAGCACCTACCAGTAAATTGTCTATGTAAAAAATTTGTTGTCTATGTAAAGTACTGGAGGGGAGAAAATGATCTTATTTTTAGAAAAAAGGATTTGTTTTTACAGCAATTCAAAACTAGTCTATTTTCTTTATTTTCTAATTGTCATTTAAAAAAAAATACATAAATATCTATTAGTCACCAGGAAAATGAAATGTAAGATACCACTTGACACCTAGGAGGATGTGTAGCATCAGAAGGTTATGTAACAAGTTTTGGCAAGAATGCAGATACAGTGAAACCTCCAATGCCACTGGCAAGAATATAAAATAATACAGTCACTTCGGGAAACACTCTGGTACTCTGGTAGTTCCTTAAACTATTATCATATGACCCAGAAATTCAACCCCTAGGTATATATACAAGAGAGGTAGAAACATGTATCCACACAATTAGCAGCACTACCTATAACAGACAAAAAGTGGTGATAAGATTTAGGACCCATTACCCCAAAATATAGCACCTCAGCATTTAAGAAAACAGCAGAACAGGAAAGTCTCTGGTCATCCTATCACCAGTCTCCTCTAAAGCAGGCCACAAAAAGAATTCCCTGACCTTCCTCTAAAATAGGTCATAAAAACCTTGATGCAGAGGTGTCCATTCTATACTCAGAGAAAAGGAATGTCTATCTCTGAAGACTCCAGGACATAAGAGAAGAATCTAAACCACGAGATCTTGCTAAATTCCCCTCTGTCTGCTACCATTTCCTAATCATATTTCTGGCACAATTATCTAGAAAAAGTTTTCCACATTGCTCTATGTCTTCATTTCTAACAGTTCCTTTGTCATGTAAAACTTATCTTAAATAAATTTATATGGCTTCTCTTGCTAATATGTCTGCTATTACAAGGTCTCAGCTAGAACTTAGTGATGGATGATGAAAAGACATCACTTTTCCTTCCCTACAGTGGAAAACAACCCAAAGGTCCATCAATAGACAATTAAGAAAACAAAATGTGATACATCCATTCTATAGCAATAAAAAGAAATGAGTCTTGGTACACATTACAACACAGATTCATCTTGAAACACTGTGGTAAGTAAAAGAAGCCAGTCGCAAATGTCTATATATTACTGGATTCCTTCATATGAAATGAAAAACAAGGAAAGCCACAGAAATAGAAAGCATATCAATGGTTCCTTAGGCCAAATTGAGAACTAAAGGTATGGGGTTTCTTTTTGAGGTAATAGATTCTAAATATATCTGGTAACTGTTGCACATAGGAACATACTAAAAGATTAATGAGCCACATGCTTTAAGTAGGTGAATTATATAGTATGTTAACAATATCTCTGGGGCTGGGGATTTAGCTCAGCGGTTCAGTGGCCTGCCTTGCAAGCATAAGGACCTGAGTTCAATCCCCGGTACCAAAAAAAAAAAAACCAATATTTCAAGTCTGTTTTTTAAATACATAAATATTCATGACTTTTTTAAAAAATTCATCATTCTTCTACATAATCACAGATATAGTGGTTTTTTGCTGTTATTCTGTTTTGATTTGTTTGGTATTTTGTTTGTTTTATGATACTGGGAATTGAGCCCAAGCACTCAATGAGTTACATCCCAAACCCTATCTGTTGTTTTGAGATAGGTTTTTCTTAATTGCCCAGAAGGACCTCAAATTTGAGAACTTCCTGCCTCAGCTCCAAAACAGCTGAGATTACAGGTGTGTATCAACATTGCCAGCTGTGGAACAAAAGTTTTTTTGTTGTTGTTGGGTTTTTGTTTTTTTGGTTTTTTTAGTTGCTAAATTATATTGCTACTAACTTAAACGTTGGGCTTAAAACCTGAGAGACACCTTCAATGGATCACCAGCTCCCACTGAATCTTTTATAACAACCTCTGACTTTTTTCATTCTTACACTGTCTATTTAATCTGGGCTCTGATTATTTCATGTCTACATTAGCCCTCTTTTTCTTCCTATTTGCCTTTTCCAGATCATTAAATGTGACCAGTTTTTAAGTTTAGTTACAATTTTCTAAATAGCCTTTTCAGAAGGCTAATATCCTCCAGACAAAGTTTAGATTTCTCCTCCTGCTATTCAGGATATTCCAATCTGCTCCAACCTTGGTCACCTACCCAGCTTCATTCCCTAGTACCTTCAGTAAGAGAACACATACTGAAGCCAGCAATGTCTCTCCACCGCCCTCACAGACTTCGCCTATTTCTTCCTCTGCCTTTCATGGGGCTATTCTATTCTGAATGCCTACCCCCACACTAACCCAAAACATACAAATCACTGAACCCTCATTTCACAGCCCCACATCATTTATGAAGGACTTGTAAAGAACTCAAACTGCAAATGAGCTTGGTACTTCTAGCCACTTTCAGGAATCACTGCCACATATCTTAGCCTTTGATTTACTTGTGATATATTTTTGCTTTTGATTTGTCTACCATCTTATTGTGTGTCATTCTATTATTCCATATGAAATTTCTTGTTTCAATAAGATCGTCACCTCCTTAAAACAAGGACTGTCAGGTTTTCAGTGTCACTGAGACCACGTAGCACAGTACTAGACTCAAAAAACCACACTGTCAAAACTTTACAAAATTAAATAGCTGTTACACAATTCATGTAACTGTGAATTGTAACTCAATATTCTCCATCATTGTACATACATTCTCCTATAAATGCAATTAATAAACCCAAAGTTCAAAAGGTGAATACGGTACCTTATCATACTGACAGACAATTACATTATCTGTGTCAAACAGGTCTGGCACATCCTGCTCACTGACATCATCTTCAGAATTTAAAGGGTCCTAAAGATGAAAGATGGTCACATTAAGGAATTTCATCATGCTCCAAATTTTTCAAAGGTAGACATAAAGAAATAAATGACTTGGAAAGGCAAGATAGTATTACACTTTACAGTCAAATAGCCCAAGTTTGAATCCCAGCTTGGCAACTTGATAATTACATGAATGACCTTGGGCAAGTTACTAAAGCTCCGCATATCTCAGTTTCTCATCTATAAAATAAAGATATTAGGAAGACCCATAGGACACTGAGGCTACTCAATACGAAGGAAGGTAAGACTTATATATGGCCACTGTAAATGTTAGCTAATACTCTTTACACACTTTTTCCCCTATATTTAAGACCCAGTCTTTTTTTCCAATGGTATATTTTAGACATACATAATGATAACATTCACCACAGGGAATTCATACCTGTACAGGACAGATCTTGCTTCTTCCCTTTTTCCTCATTCCCTTCCTCTCCCTCCAACCCCTTTTCACCTTATTTATAAAAGCTTTGTTTCCATTTTTTCCTTCTACTTTCTTTTTTCTTTCCTTGTCCTTTCCTTTTTCCCGCTCCCCTTGTTCCTTTCCCATTTGAACATTTTCTTCCCATTTCCCCACATCTATTATACATTTTGGTCCCTATTTACACTTTTGGTTTCTCAAACCAGAAGTATTTAAATGCAGTATTTAAACATGTTTGCAAACTTCTTAATCACCACATTCCATCCAGATTTTACTGCACTTATTAAAACAGATACTGTATGTTCTATGTTGGTCACCTTCTTTTACCTCCACTCCTACTTCCTAATCCTTGCTAAGAGCAATAAACATGAAGCCAATTCCTAAACACTTATTACTGGTTTAAATTATACTAGGTTTGAAAGTTTAAGTCCCAGAGTACAATTAAGTTCATTTTCAAAGACTAAAGGCAAGATTAATCTTAATTGTTATTGCTCTTGGTTCCTAAATACACTGAAGTACAAATGTTGGGAATTAATTTTAAAAGCCTCAGCTCAAAAGTGATGCTCACCTCTTCCACAATGTCTAGTTGAGTGTTTTCATTATCACTGCTATTTGCAACTGAATCATTTGATATACTTTCAGCTTCTTCTTCAAGCACCTTTAGATTTCCTGCATCAATAATTTCAAGAAATTCATTCTCTTCTACATCTCTTATATTTTTTATTTCTTCATTAGAAGATGTATCACCGGTCCCATCTACTTGAATTATTTCATTAATATCATCATCAGTTAACAGACTGCTCAAATCCACCTGAGAATTAGAATTCTAAAAGAGAAAGAAATACATTGAAGTTCTTCAAGTGAAATAAAGTGTTTAAAACATTGTACACACTAGCAAATATTCTGTAAGTGGTCACTTAAAATATGTTTCTGCCTTATAAGATAATTCTCCCTCCAAATTTTGAAATTTCAGAAAACCTCTAGCATTTTCATGTAACATAAAAATAATAAAATTATAAATTAAGTGAAATTATAATTAAAACTATGAATTAAGTGAACCCACTTACAATCATACATAGGCAAAAAAAGACTTTACTGCTTTATATAATATTTAACAGCTCTTATAGATACCATCTTAAATTTACACAGCATGTATTGAGTCTAACATCATATTTGATTCTAAGAAATAACTGAATGAAATAGAAATCACAAGTGACACCATGCTTGATGGATATAGAAAAACAGAAAAAAAAATGACACTAAATGAAATGAAAGAAATACAGAAGAATAAATTATCATAGGGTTCCACTTAAAAGTTTTACCTAAACTAGGTAAACTTATAGAGACACAAAGTAAAACAGAGGTTACTGGGACCTGGGGAAAAGGGAGGAATGAAGAATTATTTAATGAGTGCAAATTTCTATTTGCAATGATGAATAAGTTCAAAGAATGGATCGTGGTAATGGCTGCACAGTATTGTGAACGTACTTCATACCAATGAATTATACACTTAAAATGGTAAAATCTATGTAGTATATATTTTACTACTACAACAACAAAAAATTTTAAAATGCAAAAATATAAAGGAAATTTAGTAACTACCTCTGGTGACATAAGTAACTATTCTTTGTATCACTGCCTTTATAAATCAGAGCCAACAAATAAATGATCTGCTATTTTATGCACATTTTCTAATATAAACCTAATGACAACATAAAAAGAGATGAGCTACTATGGTTTGCCACAATGGCAAAGCTAGAAAGGGGGGAATCATGACGAAATGTCAAGTTTAATTGTAAAAAGTTCATCACCACTATACCCTTCTACCCTCTCATTAGTCTGGACAAAGACAGATCAACAAAATTTCAAGCTCTTAAGAACAGGGGCTATATAATATAATTATACATACCTCAGAGTTTATAGAAGAAATTCTTAACCTTTTTGGTGAAGGCTGAGATGCCCTAAAAACTTGGTGAAAGCTCCAAATGCTATAATAGGAGTACAAAGTACTGCTGGTTTTAGAAACACATACAGACTTACACATCAAATATACAACAAATTACTTTAACTCTGAGATAGGTTACAGAAGTACACCCCATTAAGAGGTGGCAATCAGCCCCAAAGATTTTCATCCTAACAGCCTAAGAAGTCTTGGGAATCTGGAAGGTCACTAAAGCTAAAGAAAACTCCAAATAGGGCCTAAGAAGTTTTACAAAGTTTTAAATAAATACCCCGTCTTTCTACTCCTAAAGTTGTGAAGTAATGGTGATACTTAATACAACAATAAATGTCTCAATGCATCAACTTAAGATACAACTTCAATACATGAATATAATCAACACATTTTTTGAGTATACGAATACCCTGCTGGGATTCATACCCATATGGATATCTCTAAATAAGTACCCTGAACGAATAATCTTACATAGAAAAACTAAGACTAATAAACATGCGATTACCAGACATGGTACTGCGTGCCTGTAATCCTAGCACTCAAAAGGCTGAGGCAGGAGAATCACTTGAGTTCAAGGCCAGCCTAGACATCATAGTGAGTTTAAAGCCAGCTTGAACTACATAGCAAGATCCTGTCTTAAAAAAAAAGTAATAATAAAAAAATAAACATTCAATTGGGTCTTTATATCCAAATAATTTTTACTACATTGGAAATGTTTCATTCACAAATGGAATATAAGGAGTATCACACACAAAAATGAGTGGCTATGTACTCAAAATGGAAATAAGACCAAATTATAGAAATAAAATAATTTTTATTGTACACAAAACTAAATTACAAAAATCTTAGGAATTCCACTGCTGCCTATGAGGTAAAAGCTGAAAAGAATGCCACTGCCATACTAACAATGAGCAAAGGCTCATTATAACTATTCTTGAATCCATCCTAGAACAAGGTCACAGGGCATTCAAGCAGTCTGGTATTTAAGCAGAAATAGCCTCTGGAAAGACAGGAGAAATAAGACGTATCTCTCCATGAGAATGGTAATGGCCATCTCCAAGTATAATACTATTTATTTCAATAGGTGGCTTGTCTTTGACTATATTATTTTGCTGATTTTTTTTTCCTATTGCCAGCAGTAGCATAGTTGCTGTTATTTGGTTTTTACTGCATGCCAATATGTACTTTGTCTTTGTGTCAACATTATTGTAGTTTATTTCCAGAGAAATGGGTGCTGGGCCATACTGCACCCTCCTCTCCCCAAATTAGCCTAGGTGATAGAATCCTCAAAAAGGGGCAAAGCATCACTGAAAAGCAAAACTAATTAAAGAATTCTCTGCACTAGCCCAAAGTCCACTTTAATCAGCTCTTAAACCTCAGCACACACTCACACAAAATACAAACATGAAAAATAGGGCAACAAAATGCCTCAATAAACTCCCAACTCCCTGAAACCTGATTCATTGGCCATTCTGATGAAAAACATCAAAAATCAAACAGCTGAATTATATGAAATGGTAAGAGAACAACAAAAAATATCAATAAGTTACTCAGAGGCCTCAAAGTTGATATAATTAAACAGATGATGGACTTAATAGACAAAATGATCAGTAAGCTAAACAAAATAATACACACCATGAATGGCCAGTTTAGCAAAGAATTAGAATCTATGAAAAGGTACCAAAGAGAAATCCAGAAAAAAAAATTCTATAGAAAGTATAGAAAAGTAACGTATGTGAAGAGAGTGTCAGAACTAGAAGATAGGGCACTACTAATGCAGGTGACCATCATGCAGAGATAACTTAAACACAAAAGATCATGGAAAATGGACCTAATCACTGCTAGATGATACAAAGAAAACTAACAATATTAAATGGAATTAATGAAAAATCAGAAGACATACAAATGGATTTTTTTAAACCTGCCATCAGAAATCGTAGCAGAAAACTTTCCACACATAGGGAAAGAATTTAACATACATATATTCAAGGCATATAGAAACCCAAATAGCCATGAACAGAAAATAACTTTTCTACAACACATCAGAGTCAAAAATTCCTAAAGTCCAACACAAGGGCAGAATCTTAAAAGCTGATATGAAAACAAATCAGCTGGGTATGGCAGCACAAACCTATAATCCCAACACTTGGAAAGCTGCAGTAGGATTGTCAACTTGGGCTATATAGTTCAAGGCCAGCTGAAGTACAGAGTGAGACTTTGCCTCAAAAAAGACAGACAAACAGAGCTACAAAGGAAAGGAGAGGAAAAGAAAAACAACAATTCACTTATAAAGGTCAACCTATTAGAATTACAACAGATTTCTCACCACAAACCTCAAAGATGAGGAGAGCATGGAGTGAAATATTTAAGCCCTACCAAAAAAAAAACCAACTTTCAAATCAGACTAATATGTCCTGAAAGTTGATGGAGAAATAGATTTTTCCATGACAAAGAGCACCTTAAAATTCATGACCACCAAACCAGAAAAAAAATCAAAAAATTCTCAAGGATATCTAGGAAGAGACAATGAAGCCAATGTTGCCAAAAGAAAAGTCTAGCAGAATGAGTACCCAGGTAGTATAGGCAGTTATGCAGAAAGAAAAAAGGAATCAGCAACAGGAAAGGAAAAATGCCATGACAGGAATAAGTCAATACCTTTCAGTAATGCCTCTCATTGTGAATAGTCTCAACTCCAAAATCAAAAGTAACAAATTGGCAGATTGGATTAAACAAACAAAACCCAACAATATGATACACACAAGAAACATATTTAATTCAAAAGAAATTCATAGACTAAAACTCAAAGGATGTAAAACAATAGTCCAGGTAACAAGAACCCAAAATCAAGCAGAAGGACCTATCCTATTTTCAGACAAAATGGACTTCAAACCAACATTCATCATGAGAGGCAAACAAGGTCACCTCTTATTGGTTAAGGGAACAGTTCAACAGAAAGAGATCATAATTGTAAATATATAGATATGAAGTACTGGTGCACCCACCTTGATAAAAACAAACACCCTGTATGTAGCCTCATTAGCAAATGGTGCTGGGAAAACTATCTACATGCAGATTGCCTCTAGATCCAAACCTCTCACCATGTACTAAAATAAAATCAAAATTGATCAAAGACATAACTATTAAAACAGATATAATCTTCTGAAAGATAAACTCTTAAAGGTAATAACTTTCTGGACAGAACCCCAATTGCACATGAAATAACATTAAGAATTAACAAATGAGGTCATATCAAACTTAAAAGATTCTTCACAGAAAGGAAAACCACCAAAGAGATGAAGAGACACAACCTACACAGAATGGAAAAAATGTTTCTCTAAGTATTCCTTGGACATAGGACTGATATCTAGAACATATAAGAAACTCAAAAAAGAATAGACCCCCCAAAAATAAGATCCAATCAAAACATGGGCATCTGAAATGAACAGACAATTCTCAGAAGTATAATTACCAACAAATATATGAAAAAATGTTCAATATCTCTGGCCATTAGAGAAATGCAAATAAAACAACACTGAGATTCCATCATAATCCAGAAATAATGGCTTATCAACAAGAAATCAAATAATAAATGCTGGAGAAGCTATGGAGAAAAAAAACATTTCCACATTTTTGATGGGAATATAAACTAGGATAACCACTGTGGAAATTAGTATGAAGATTCCTCAAAAAATTAAAAATAAAAATACCATTTGAGGCCAGGGATTTATCTCAGTGGTGCTACCACCTGACTTGCAAAAGCAAGGTGTTGAGTTTGACCCCCAGTACCAATAAAAAAAAAAAAAAACTGTTCTAGCTATTCTTTAGGTATTATCCCAAAACAAAGACATCATAATACATTGATACAGGCATAT